TTTTTTTTTTTTTTTTTTTTTTTTTTTTTTTTTTTTTTTTTTTTTGCATAGCAGAAAGCAAATGTCTGCAGAAGAGTATTTGGGAATCAGTAAAGCAACTATGGTTTCCTGAGAGACAGATCCCAGAAAGAAACAGCTCCAGGAAACCAGGAATCCACCATTGGTGAGTCACCATCCAGTTACACTGCACCTACTGACTACTTGTGTTATGTATATTAACAGCAGATTAGAACCCCAGAGTCATGATTTGTCTGTGTGTACCCCCAGAAGGAATCTCAAAGGTCATCTATCTTACCCCCCGCCTCAATTGTCCAGATAAGAAGATTAAGACTCTGAAAGGTAAAATGTCTCACTAAGTTCACGTGTTTTGAATTCCTCTTGTCCTATGTTATGCCAGATTTTCAGCCTCAAGTCCAGGGACTGACCTACACTGAAGGTTCAGCAGGCTGGATGGAGGACTTCCCTGAGGTCTGTGGTGACTGAAATCAAGCTACAGTGTGTAGAGTAGCGTTGGTTTGAGAAAGGTCTGCTTCCCTGCCAGAACACTTTCCTCCTTGTTAAGTGGAGCAAGTATTCCTCTACTTTTTCTTGGGGAATACTCCTGCACTCAATTTGTAGCAAAAGAGAGGGAGTAAGTTACTTCATGTTAGTATAACCAATCTTCCCATACATAATCAGAGACAGAATCTCAGGAACTAATATTAAGAGAACTGCCTTTTTAAAATTATCATTATTTGAAGTATAGTTTGCACACAATGTTACATTAGTTTCGGGTATCCAATATAGTGATCCAACAACTCTATACTGATGCTATCTATACTCACCACAAGTATAGCTACCATCTATCACCATATAATGCAACCACAATACCATTGATTAAATTTCCAGGGAACATATCTTGTACTGAAGACAGTAGCCTAGTACTTAATTTACCTAATTTTATTTTATCTTCCTAATGACACTGTGTAAGGTAGTAATTATCTCTGTACTACAGGGGTAGAAACAGAGGCTCACAGAAGTCCAGATATTTTTTCCCTGTTAGAAAGTGGATGAACAATGGTATGTGTGATTCCAAATCCCAGACATCCTGAGAAGTGTTTAGTTAGAATAATAACCTCATGTTGAAGCAACCCAAAGAATAAGTAAAATTATTTTTCCAAGTATGTGATTTACAGCCACAGCAGTTGAAGATTTTCTTTCTTTCTTTTTTCCTTTACTTAGAGGACTGATATCAGTAAAATTACAAAATGAAAACCTAAGCTGGTAAGTCTGTGGACAAATGGACACTAAGGCCACATTTATATATCTAGAATCAACATTTAGTGAGGGTAGATTAAAGCAAACAGAGTGATGACGATTACCCTGGTAACATAATCTCCATTGAGCCTTGCTTGAGGAGAAAATGAAAAGCTCCAACATCTCTCAGGTTCAACCAGAGTTCATTGAAGATAGAAAGTGTTACATGCTTTGCTTTCTCTTTTTTTTTTTTTTTTTTCCTTAAAAATCAAAGGTGGCAGAATTAACACAGATGATCTAGCGTCTGGAGGACAGTGGTTCAAAGCTTTCATTAGAGTCCTGGTTACCGAGTAGAATGAACCAGTGGCACCAACACAATCTTTGGGGCTCAACTCAAGATTCTTTCCATGAAAAAAAAAAAAACATTACCAGAAATTATAACATTTCTCTAAACGAAATTTAGCCACCAATTTCAGGCTCACTTTGAAAGGAAATATTATCATAAGAGTTGGCTTTAGTATTGGGCCATTTGTTTTTTAAGTTGCTCTTCTTGTCTAAGTAGAGGAAGAGGTATTTGCCATAAAAGTCAGTTTTTCTTATCCTCTTGGGCATAGAAGTTTAAGCAAACCCCCTCACATGAAAAGAATAGCAGGTGTATCCTGGTGTATCCTCCCACCCCACACTCACTCACTTTTTACCCCGCCAACATCTATCCATTTGGTAACATCTTGTCATACTTTTTTTTAAGTTAATTTACAAGTTAATTAACATACAGTGTAGTCTTGGTTTCAGGAGTAGAATCCAGTGATTCATCTCTTACATATGATACTCAGTATTCATCCCCAAAAGTGCCCTCTTTAATACCCCTTTCCCATTTAACCCACCCCTTTATTTTGTTTTTAGTTGAAATATATTTGACACATAACATTGTGTAAATTTAAGGTGTACAACATCTTAATTTGATACATTTATATATTGTAATGTGATTGAGACTGTAGCCATAATTAACACCTACCATATTAATTATCATTTTTTTAATGGTTGGAAGAATTAAATTATAGTCTCTCAGCAAGTTTGATGATTATAATACAAGACTGTGCATTAAGTCTCTAGGGCTTATTTAGTACTTGTTGCAAGTTTGCACCCTTCAACGTCTATCCTACCCTCCCCCCATATCTTAATAACCACCATTTTCCTTTGTCTGTTTTTACATATTTAGCTTTTTAAAATTCCACATACAAGTGATATTATTCAGTACTTATCTTTTTCTTTCTGACTTACCTCACTTAACATAATGTCCTCATGTTCTATACATGTTATCACAAACAGCAGGATGTCCTTTCTTTTCATGGCTGAATAATATTTCATTTGGTCAACAGGTACATGAAAAGATGTTCAACATCAGTAATCATCAGGAAAATGAAGATCAAAACACAATGATGTATTACTTCATACCTGTTAGAATGGCTATCATCAAGAAGATAAGGGATAATAAGTGCTGGCCAGGATGTGGAGAAAAGGGAACACTTGTGCACTGTTGATGGGAATGTAAATTGGTTCAGCTACTATGGAAAACAGTATGAAAGTGCTTCAAAAAGTTAAAAATAGGTCTATCATATTGTCATACTTCTTAAAGGCATGTAGACACATGAATGTACCCAATACAAATAGTATTTTGTGCTGTTTGCTATTTTATATATCATTTTGCAGGGGTTTATTTTCACTAAACTAGTATGTTTTGGGGGGTTGTTCATTCCATAAAAATCTTCCTTATCATGCACAACTGCTATAGTATATTCTCTAGTATGCCTTATCCATTCAATAATTGATAGTATTTTACAACTTTTTTTTTTTTATTATTTTTCACAAACAAGATGCTAAAAACACCCTGGGACAAGCCTACTTGTTTGTCTGGGTTTCCTTACAATTGTGTTCTACTGATTCACAGTGCATCATATCTATCCTGCCCTTGTCATGTCTCCAAGCAAGCAAAGCACATTCCCTGTCCCATTATTGGCTTTGGACCTGTGAGCACCACATCAGAAGGGACACTCTGCTTCAGATGGTGTGGTTCAGCCCCACCTGTTGCTCTTTCTCCCTTTGCCTCAGGAACAGCATATCTGAGATAAGGGCTGCTTTCTTCCATCTATGACTCCATAATGGGAGCACATGCAGAGAAGACCAGAGCTGACCCACATTCCCAAGTGGTGGTAACAGAGAAAGAGAGATTTCTTATTATACCACTCTGGGATATTAGGGACATTCAATACCATTGCAAAAGCTGAATAGTGTAACTAAATTCTAACAAGTAGAATGGTTGAGTCATAAGTTTAAGTCCATTCTACAAATATTTTGAAGTAAAAGATTTTGAACCTACTGTTCCAGATTCTGGGGTTCATAGCAGTGTATAGCAGTGAAGAAAATCAAGTTCCTACTGGCAGGGTGCTTATGTTCTGCACATGTTATAAATTTTTAAAGTTTTAATAAATGCCATTAAATTGCCTTCCCCTAATATATAGTTATAAATAGAGAGGAAATTTAGGGTGCTTTGTCTTTCCAGATTGCTTCTCCTCTATTCCCTAACCTGCAATGAAGTGCTTTCATTCTAAGCATGAGCTCAGCAAAGCTGGCTGTACAACTAACCCTCACCTTATAGACCCTGGAAGCCAGTCTGGCTGTGGATATTCTACCTGGTAATATCATCGTTAACCTTACTTTTTAGTTTTCAGCATGAAGGCATGCTCTATCTTTACTCATACAATAAGGACAAATGAGATTATGGAAACTCATGGTTTACAATGTCTTGAAATCTTAGGACTTTCTGTGGTTGCATGGCCATGATAGGCCATAGAACAGAGAACTCAGTGCAGTGGAGTGAATGGAGAGGTCAGAGAGAACAGCTAGTGCTGTAGGGCAGGTTTAGCAAACTGGGGTCTAGGGGCCACATCCCAGGGAAAGGAACAGGAAGAACAACCTGACTCCAGAGTTCAGCCTGACCAGGCAAAGATGCATCTCAGAGGTCCACAATATCCTTATTGCCATTTTCCTGATGTCCTGGAAACTGTGGATGAGCCCTGGCCCCTGCATGTCCTCTAAGTCATATACTTCTTACCAGACTCTTCTGCTCTTTTCAACATCCAGTGTCCTACCAAAGTCTTGGCCCTTTTCTGAAGTACTTAAGCAGGCTCCTGATATCCTGTTGTACAACTCTTGTCAAAATCCATTTTAGAGAAACTGAGGCCAGCTTCTCCTATTAAAGTAGGCATTGGTTTTTCAGAACTTCTATCCTTGCTAGATGCTTTTTAGTCCAGTCTATCTTCTCTTCTCCCTGTGCTGTCTGCCTCTGCTGTGCTGTATCTCTTGGGGCTCTTCAGCCTCTATTCTAGCAACTCTCTTGAGCTTCTGTCTTCTGCAAACCTGGTTTATCCACATAGTCTGTGTCACTGAGGCTTCATGTTACCTTCCCAGCCAAGTGCACAGGATTATAGGCAATATACTCCTATGCTCTTGAATTGCCTGGGTATCATTTTTCAGAAAAATTCCTGAAGAAATCTTGATTTTGAGTCACATTCTGAATATAGAAAGAACACACTTTCCAGAAGTCATGCATGACCACACAGTAACAGCAGCAAATGTACATTTAAGGCTCAATTTTTGTGTGTACTATTCTAAGAATTTTACATATATTAATCTTCACACAATGCTATGGAGTAGCTCACCTTTTTAAAGGTGAAAAAATTGAAGCACAGAGAAGAAAGTGCCTCACTCAATATCACACATTTAGAGGCATCATTGAAAGGAGACTCTGGGGCGCCTGGGTGGCTCAGTCAGTTGAGCCTATGACTTCGGCTCAGGTCATGATTTCCCAGCGCCTGAGTTCGAGCCCCGCATTGGGCTGTGTGCTGACAGCTTAGAGCCCGGAGACTG